CACCGCCAATGCCAGACGTTATTTTTTTTGGGGTGGGTCACTGGCCGGGCCTGCCTTTTGGAGGCCACGCCAGCTGCGACGTGGTCGTTCCGCCACCTGGCGTTAAGGCAACGAGGGTTCGACTCTTTTTGCCGATCGTCAACTCGCGAGCGGCTGCGTTAACTTGCTCTTCTTCGCACGGCTCATGTTTATGTTAAGACGCAGTGTCCTTCACGAATCTACAGAATGGTGGGGGGGGGGGGGATTGTTCGGGGGGCAACTTTCACCGCTAAGACATCGTCAGCGTGCGAGGGGCCGCCACACATTTGCAACCATTTGCGGGTTTCTGACAGCGGCACGACGTTGATGATGATGGTTGAGGGGGTTCACATTTGTGTATCGTCGTGGGCCGCGAACCTTGGAAATGAAGAGCACCGATGTGGAGCAACAACCGTCACTTGACATCGAGGTGGTTGAAGCCAGATGTGGCGGAGTCTATCGCTGTGATGACGCCTCCTTCCCATGGATCTCTATGCGAGTGTTTGAGAATTACATTTATAGACGTATGGCTCACGTGAATGCAGACCAACAACACTGTGGTAGCGGTGGCAGGTAAATGCGTCAGGAGTAGCTGAGTGGCGTGTCGCTGCCGTGACGATGCCTCCTTTGCATGTGAAATCGGACATTACGTACGTTGAACTTCTTTCGCACCGTACGCAGCCAACCGTGCTACTCGGCAGGTGCGGAGTCGTTTGTGCAACACTCCACGGCTCCGTTCTGGGTGCGCAGTCACTTGCACACTGCCGGAGAGTTATCCCATTTCCGTTTGGGCATCACCAAGTATCTCTGCATCTGCTCGCGATTTGTGCGGACGAGGTTTCACACTATAAAGGCGACATTCAGTTTAGACAAGGTTTTCGTCCACCGAGGAGACGGAGCGATGAAAGCACTTTGTTGCAGGCGCCGCAGGATTGAGACGCGATGGCTATTGGGAGGCCTTCATTCAGCAGTGGATTGTCCATAACTGCTGCTGCTGATGACGACACAAAGGAACTGGCCCACGAACTCAAGCAGCCTCGCGACTCGGTGAGACATACACAAGATCATAACAATAAAGTCAAAGCAAAATGTTTTAAAACCTTTATTGCAGTGGACACATGCTTGCATAAATCCCGAAATGAAATGAGATTCGTGTTCTTATTGTCAACAAATCGGGGTGCACACTGTGTATGATGTACACCGGAATGCTTTCACGCATCATACAAACTGCGTAACACAACCATGACAAAATGAACCCAAGTTTAATTACACCACCATAGCCGTGAAACATTCAGATGTCTTATCAGTTTATTTTTTATTTGCTAAACTGTTCAATCTTTTGGCACCGCAGGATATTTCTCAAGGCTGCTGTGGTGTTAATTTACCAGCAGAGGGCAGTGCACAAACATCCAATCGTTGCACAGGTACGAGGGGGCCTCAACGCCTATGCACCCGACTCCCAACAACCGACACTAACCTGCGTGGTGAAGTATGGTGAAATAGCTCCCGTGGATTTAAACGTGGTGGGCAGGGAGGGGGGAAAGGCTCTCATCCAGCAGTGGATTGATTAAAGGGCTGTATGCGTGTACACACACCCGTCATCGGGGCTCATCGGTGAGTGAGCCATGCTCAGCTACAAGACTGCGTGGAAGGCATGAGACTACAATTAAGCGACGGTGCCTGGATATTGTATCATCATCATGCTGTCCGTACCCAAGGACGATGACCTCTCTTGCGTCGGGAGTCAGTTATCCTTCGTCACCTTACGTGGTTGTTGTGCATGATTCATGCGCGTTCGCTTGTGACCAGCAAGACCTGCGTTTGGACAACCCCATGCCGCGTAGATCACATGCACAGTGGGCCGAGGGTAGCACCTAATATTCAAATGCACTGGTCGGCACTCTAACCACTTCTAACCCACGTCTGCCGGCGTGTTGTGACTCCGTGTCTTCAAGAGCACCGTCTTTCAAGCAACTGGGCAGCTTCAGCCAAGGCTTGGCGCCAATTCTGTCTGTTTTTGGCGAGATTTTCCCATGAATCTGCATGGAATTCCACGTCTTCTCAATTTTCAATGCAGTACACATCCTGAACGTATTGTCAAATATGCACCGCAACTTCGACGCTTCCCATTGAGACAGGCGTGCACCGGCAAGAGGAGATTTTTAGCTTCTGTTAAGACAATTGGGTCATGTCGAGGAGCATTTTGACACAGTTAAATACTGAGTTCACGGGGTGAGATTCAACTACGTTGTTATTTTGCCCTGCGGAATTCTGATGGCCCCGGCTCTGATTTCCAACGAAACATCCATTCGGATGGATTTTAAAATGCACACTGAGCATTTGATCTTCTCTCTAGCTTTGACCACGCCACTGCAGCCGAGGGCATCTTCATGATGAGCCACTTTTGTAGACCAATCATTTGTGTCCAGGTCGCTTCTGAAAAAGAGCTATATAGGTCAGTGGGCCTTACCTGTTAAAATACAAAAAAACTTTAGTAGTTTAGTTTAGACGTAGTTTCTACTCTGGTTGCCGTTACGTCACCACCAGTCTCTTTCCAACGAGCCATCATCATGATCATCGTCTCCTCAAGAGATGTCCTACCCTAGCACATTCACTTTCCTTGATAATGAATAGTATGTCTCTGGTTGGAGTTGAATCCTCTGATCCACGTGCGTTCCCGAATAGCTCAGTGGGCTTTACATCGCAAGACGTAATTTTTTTGTTAGTTTTATTTGTATATATATTAAGCGATTTGTTTACCTTTACTACGCTTTGCACTCCAATCGTGCTTTGTTTGTATTGTTTGTTGTCAAGAACGCTCCGACCCACTCCGGATGGACATCTGTGAATAAGCGCTTTACGGCTCAACTGATTCCCCCAGTATAAATAAACATTCCGATCCATTCAGTAGTTCGTGGCGAAAGCTTGGGAACAACGAATGCTCAAGCCGCGGCCAAAACCCTGGAAACCGCACTCGCACTCGCGTGGACGTTCCACAGCCGATTCAGAGCAGCCGCCAAAGCTCCTCGACATTGACACCCGTTCGCTGTTGACAAGGGGCCTGAAGCGGTGTCCCGCACGGGCTGATAGACGAGTGGCCCCTGGCGGTGGAGAGCGGTGGTGCAACGGTTAGCGCGCTGCCCTACAAACCAGGCGACCCCGAGTTCGATTCCCGCTCACCGGACAACACCAGCGGTGACGATTATCTGAAACGGTCCCGGGGCCTTCCCTAGGTCGACTCAGCCTCAAATAAGTAACCTGGTGCGGTGTGTAAACATCGCCACTGGGGAGACAAAGGCGGCCGGGTGAGGTGTTGGCCACCGACCCCCCGTCTTGTGCGGTGCCTGCCTTCATTAGGTGCTACTCGCTCACAGCACTTGCCCTACAACGGTATGTTCAGGCTATAGGGGGGGGGGGGACTTTGTCTTTGGTGGTGGGGAAGAATGTCTGGCCACAATCTGCTACAAGGCTACGGCCAAAATCCATCATCACACCTTATGTGATGGACGTGCCTTCCTTTGTACCTGTCACACGAATTTGAAAAAGGTACGCGGTTAGCTCTCTCCCATGTTACACCCCCCCCCCCCCCCACTCCTTGCTTGCTGTGTGTGCGTGCAGTCAAATACTCTCGGATGAGGCCACCGTGGATGACGAAACCTTGGCCCTAGGTTTGAATCAGCTTCAGGATTCCGGAGCAGCTGTACCACCCCCCCGTGGGGCTCTTTTAAAAAAAAAAAACTTTACAATGGGAATTGCGTGCTTGACTCGTGCTGCTGAAAGGTCACGATAATTCAAATCCCCCGGTTGCGGCGGCAGATGACTTGATGCACATGCTTCTACCTCCACGGTCGTGCGATGAGTAAACCGATCCCTGTCATGGGAACGTGGAATTTCCTTCACTGGAGCCAGACGGCCTGCTGCTCAAAACAGAAAGAAAACTTGAAGCGACTTTTTTATCGTCAACAAGTTCAAGGTGTAGTAAACTTGCACGTAGCTCCATCGGTCACGGATGGAAGACATCAAGTTCATGAACATGGCACGTGGTCTTGTGGTCCAGATGCATCAAAACGCAACATTAACTTCGCCGATTGGCAGCTGTATGGCAGTTGTTTTTTTTCTTTCTGAATGTCACATGCAATGTCTGCTGCTGTAAAGCCATTGCTTTTAAAAAAAAAGTTACTTTATGTACGGCGGTTGTGTGTGGGAAATTCATCGCACAACTCAACAGCTGTGATTTAATTAAGGCAAATCAATTAACTTTGTTGACCCAAGGGGAAATTTAGGGTACGTCGATTTTTTTTTTTTGCTGAGACCAAGGGGCTTCATTGCAATGTTTAACTCCTGGAATATAACAGACACGAAGTGGCACTATATCGTAACAAATTATTCTAAAACAAACACCTGCCTTGAAGTAAACATTCTTCACACCCGTACTGCCACCCGCAACCAGGTTTCACAAAACAAATGGACATTTATTCACGACGTAGTGGGGGGTGGGGGGGGGACGCGTGGTCAGAATGAACCAACTTAATTAAGCCTAAATTAGATCGGGCACTTTAATGGTGAAATAACTCACTGGGTTCTAAATCGATGACGGCAACTCCCACTGCGCGTCAATTCGCAATGTGTCCAACAACTGTGCATGCCCGGTCAAGCTACCTCCCCGTCCTCCTGCGTGGATATTCACTTGGCATAACACGAGCACCTGGGGACTGTGTGCTAAACACGAGCAAAGGGGAATGATGAGTGTGTTTGACCATGCTGGGTTTTAACCGCAGCAGTGCTCGCATGTCTTTGTGGGCCTTAACGGGTGCTCGCTAACAGCAATATAAACAAATCTACGTGTGACCTTAGTGTGTGTGTGGAGCGGTGGTGTAGCGGTTAGCGCGCTGCCCTATGAACCCGGCGACCCGAGTTCGATTCCCGCTCAAGGCCAACACCAGTGACGATTATCTGAACCGGTGCTGGGCCTGTCCTAAGTCGACTCAGCCTCAAATGAGGACGTGGTGCGGTGTGTAAACATCGCCACTGGGGAGAGAAAGGAGGCCGGGCGTGGTGCTGGCCACCCACCCCCTTCATAGGTTATCGCTAACAGCACTAGCCCCAAAAAGCATGTAGAGGCTACACAGGAGATCTTTGTCTGTGTGTGTGTGAAACCGTTAAGCGTGTTGATAACGGGGTAGAAAATCACTAACACAGATGTCCACGTAAAGGAAGAGTTATTCACAAATCAAGACACCACGGTTTTGTAAATGTGCTGCGTTTCTTCAGACAATTGCAGAAATGCTGCACGTGTTCTTGAACATCCGATGAGGAATGCAGCCAAGTATTTTACACACACGCAAAATGCTTCAGGATCACATCTCTGCATTACAAACAAACTTGGGCTTCCGTTCCGATAACACTTCGAGGCAGATTAATACAAACATTGCGGAAATACAGTAGCTTCAATAAAACATCTCTCCCCAGCGTGTTGAGCATCTAAAGCCAGTGCATTATACATGAGAAAACACCCCCCCCCCCGCCCCTTACTCATTGCGTTAGGCCACATCACATACCAGTGGTTTCAATATAAACCACACGAAAAAAAATCAATTTTTATAAGCTCATCATTGCATAAACCTGCAAAACAGAGAAAATGTAAAAACTGTGTTCAGCAACTAAATTTTTATTGAAAGCAACAATTTCCCTGCTTTGATTTCCCCCGATATTTTTTTATTGGTCTAATGGACAAAATAATAATTTGCCTCTTGAGAGACCGATGGTGATGCACAGAGCATCACTTCTCCTTCCCGCAGCCCTTAACCAGCACCATCATTCGACTAATTTGTCGGACGTCATGACTTGACTCTTTAACGTTAATGCTCTACCCAGCAAATGCTGGGTAAGTAAAGTCTTGAGACTCATTGGCGAGATAGGGTCCTGCCTGAGATGTTAAGCCAATTTCGAAGAAAAAGAAACATCTGCTTTGCGACAAATCAATATATCTTGTGACTTAGGCCAACTGTGTGCCAAGGGACCGTGTATCAAATTCACATGGAATTCAATTGTGAACACCGTACCTACCCCTCCTCGGGTCCTTAGCCCGGACAGCTGCCACTTTGCCAATATAAACGTTGGAGGAGATGGAGGGGACGGAGGAGGAGGAGGAGGAGAAAGACGGAATGTGTCTGGGCCAAAGCGGCTGCAAGGCAACACACGTACGATGTGCGGCGGTGGCAATGACAATTACAAACCGCCGCCGCCGCTTGCGTGCGTCACGAAACGGCGGCTACCTATCGGCCGCGTGTCTGTCGTCCCCCGACGTGGATCCGTCGGTCGAGCCCGCGGCGGCCGGCGCGCCGCCTCCGTCGTCGTTGCCGTTATCGTCCACCTGGGCGCCCACAAAGTCGTTCTCCCACTCGAGCCCCGGGGACGACTCGGAGGTGGAGGTGGCGGCCGGGGTGGAGCCGTTGCCGCCGGTGTCGCCCTGCTGCTGCTGCTGCTGCTGCTGCTGCTGTCGCCGCCGTTGCTGCTGCTGCTGCTGCTGCTCGCGGTCGCTCCTCGCCCTCCCTGGCGGGCGGGGAGACTCGGGTTGCATCATGGACGCTTGGAGGAGGTCCTCCTCCGTGCGCGAGCGCTCGTGAGCCTCCAGCATGCGGTTTATGCCTGCGGGCGAGCAGGCGGACGAGAGCCACCGGGTGAGAAACGGACCATCCAAAAAGTGAGGCGATTGCAAACGTTAGTGGATTCATCGAGCTTATTGGCTCATCATCCGAGCCCTCTTACGATTACTTGACCACCGGGTTTACGAGTCGAGGCTTAGTTCGGACGCAACCGCGGCGCCGCCGCCGCCGCCGCCGCCACTCACCCTCCTCGTCCTCCCACTCCAGGTCAAGCGAGGCACTGTCGTCGGCGGACGACCGCGTGCGGCTGCTCTCCGTGTTGGGGGTGATCGCCGCGTCCGCAACGATCCCTGCGTGCACACGCGCGCATTCAGGCGCATTCACACGTGCACGCATTCCCGCACATGACACACAGATGGCGCGTAATTATGGATAAGATTCATGGGTGCTCGCACGGTTTGTCAGACCTTACCAATTCACGCTCTGCATCATAAGCATCGGGATGTGCATTTACAGGCCACTCGCGATTAACCCTTTCCCATTCTGATGACGTTCGTGTACATAATTAAAAGGAAACCGGAAGACATAAATAAATAACTTTATCGGTACCGAGGGTCCCACAAGGGCCATGCGGGGGGGGGGGGGGGGGGGGGTGTGTGGCACAGTTTGGCGCCAGCTATCGTAGAGTGCGGTCGTGTCGCTACGGTTCTCTGCGGTGAGTACAACGTCTTTAAAAACAACGTTGCTCGGCACTCTCCAAATAAAATGAACGCGGAACCGCTCGCGCGTTCCGAGGTTCGGCGGTGAGCGTGACCCCACCCTGCAGATGCCTCGGAACGGGAAAAGGTCGAATGTCTTGAGCGCAACTCGGAGCGCCTTGCATCACATCCGATCTCAGACATTCCAATGCCTTGCCGTGCTCTAGCCAAAGGGAGTCTCTGGTGGCAGCTGCAAAATGGGCATTAGACTATCAGCAGGGGACGATGGTTCATGGACTATAATCAGAATATCGATTTACACCGGAGGAATCTTATGAGCTATAAAGCTCTTTTTCACAGATGTCTCGTAAGGGCAGGTCAGAATGTTACAACAATACAAAACACAATCGGAGTACAAAGTATAGGCACTGGTGGAGCCAGTGGGGGGGGGGGGGGGGGGGGGGTGGGGGTGAAACCCAGATTCAAAGCCAGCAGCATCCCTCAGCAGCGCTGGCCGTAACATTGAGGCCATTGTGACCTTGGGTAGACGGCCGTACGGGTCAAAACCAGCGCGGGGTGAAATACCAGCACTTGTGGGCATCCGGAGAGATCGGCACGGCTGGAGAACACTGGGCGAGCTGAGTGAGTAGGGAGCAGAGGTACTCACGGTATTTGTTCCTAAAAGCATCCGATCTTGCCTTGACCCCCTGCAGATAATGATCAAAGTCCTCTTCCTCATCGGCCCTGCGGACACCAGGAAGAGACGGACGCTGTTTTTAGGAGGAGCCTGACCCTGGGGTTTTGCTTGCGGAGGGGGAAGTAACGCACCCCGGGGGTAGAGATGGAACGATGAAATCGGCTCGCGCGCAGGAGCTCGATGGATCGTTGCGTCGCGCGACCATGTGAGATGGGGGCTGGCTTGGGGGAGGTTTTAATCTAACAGTGGTTTGATCATCATGGATGGTGATGGTGGTGATGACGACGACGACGATGTAGCATTTCCACATTCTGTGATCCGATGCATACAAGGGGGTAGGGGGTGGTGTTAATTTTTCTCGGAGTCAACCTAGGAGGAGCATTTAACGAGTATCATCTTCCCTATATACGCAATCCAGAGATTTTCAGCAGGTAGCTATGATACTGAATCAGCCAAGGAGAGGTCCCTTAATTAGTTCTCATTTCAGTCACAGCTAACCTGGAGGAGGCCCTGTTCTGATGTTAGGGAGCACAGAATGGTAGGGACATTATTATGTTACTATTGAGCCCATTCATTCACACACTGTCAGTGGATTCACATTGTGAATGGCACGCCACACCACACCGCATCAGCGCACCAAGGATAAATAAACAAAAGGCCACATAAAATAATTTCTGATGAAACTGCACTCACGCCATGGTGTGCACTTGGAATCAACTACTTCCTATTCATATACGTTTACACAGGGGTGGCAGAGCATGGTTAGCGCACCGCGTTATTAACCCCATGACCCGAGTTCAATTCCCAGCCAAGGCTAACATCAGTGGTGAGTGATATTCAAAGTGCTCTGGTCCACGCAATTAAAAGCGTGGTGAAGTATATGGTCTAACAACCCCCCCCCCCCCTCCCTGGGACCAACACGGTTTGTGGGTGCCTTCATCCATCCATCAGAGAATTAACAAAGGGCTGTAAAGTCATGATCACATCTACTATGGTAACACCATTCTAATAGGTTCGTACGACTGCATTTTCTACATGTGTCAGAGGGGCAATATCCTTAATATTCAGAGAATCCTGAATAACAATAATGATAATAAAACAAATAATATTCATTTTATCATGACTCCGAAAAGGGGAAATGGATTGCATCGTGGACAGTGTAAACTGCTTGATTATTCATACTCCGCCTACTCACCGACCTGTGTGCAGGGGGGAATGCAAATAAACGGCATCGCACCACTTACACTTGCCACTCATCAGCACTGTCTCCCACCCACGACTTATCCAGGTCAGAGCTTCTCTCCTGCAAGGCGTCCAGAGACACGACATTGAAAGACAAAGAACACGGCAATAGATTTTTTTTATTTTTTTTTAATCAGCGATTTCTTGCTCAAGTGAGCATTTAGGTGCTCATCTCCCGTTCACAGTGCCGAGACTGTGGTAAATTTTCCACATTATTATGGCAGGCAAGTTTCAATACAGCACAGCCACTGTTGCTGCTTTGGCGAGGGCATCGGCTCACCATAGAACAATAACTAAACTAAGCTAAGTTTGATTTTACCAAGTAAGACCCATTGAGCTATTATCTCTTTTTCAGAAGCGACCTGACCACAAATGATAGCTCAACGAAGTTGCTTACCACGTGGAAATTTATCACAGCCAAATACTCTAAACGCACGTTTATAAATGGGGAGGGAAAAACCAGAGGACCCGGAGAAAAATGCACACGAAATTAGCCACAGGCCACCACTGCTCAATTCGTTTGCAAAAAATTCAAATGCACATTTGGGGAGTGCCATCACACTCCCCGGGTTCCTTGGGAGGGGGGTGCTGGGGGCATCCGCCCCACCCACCCCCCACCTGCCCCCCACCCGCCCCCCAACCGCCCCCCACCCGCCCCCCACCCACCCCAGCTGGCCCATCCATCCCACCCGCCTGTGCTGTGACACTGCAGGAAGTATGATGGAGCAGGTGATGTACCTGGCGCGCATGCTTTTGCTTGGCATGTAGGGCAGCCAGCCTCTGTGCCCTGTGTAAATCCTCCTCCTCCTTTTTCAACCTCTCCTCCTGCTCCCGTAACTGTGTCCAATGGAGCGCAGCAAGATACACGGGCGCAAGGACGCGCAGACCGAACACAACGCACACACGAAAATATATTCAACAAAATGAAACAAAAACCCCCAAAAATTAAGTTGCGTAAGAAAAATAAGCCAGGCGAAATTAAATGAAGGAAAAAAAGTATTGCGAATGCAATGGAATGTATTTGATTCAAAGTGTTGAAGTGAATGTTATTATTGTGATAATAGGTTAAAAAAAAACATATAAAGGTGCAGCCCTGCAATTACATGCTACCACCACTGTTGGCAGATGACCCTCCACTCGAGAAGAAGCACAAGAGTGCCCTTGAGAGGGCACAGTATTTGGTCTACTCTTCCACGCGGGCCAGACGTCTTGGAAGAGGTGGGGGCACCCACACTTTACCCCACCACACACCACCTCTGGTGTACCCCATTCATCCAGTTGGGGCGGACATAGGCGAGGGTGGGGCGAGATTGAAGAAACTTGCGCCACCGTTTTAAATTCCACGCCAGGAGATGGAATCTATCGAATCGATCGTCTACACTAGCTTCGTAATCTGAACCGGGATTTTCATCGAGATGTGAAACAATAAGAATGATAAATCCCACAAACTTCGCCCACTTGTTACAAGAAAATTGAAAACCAATAACACACACAAACACGCACGCATGCACGTAAAAAAATAAAGAAACCACCCCAAACTTGTGCCCGGTATTAATAACGCTATACAAATTTTACTACACACAAGCACCCAATTGATTATAAGATTATAAGACACCCCCCCCCCCCACCAAAACTATTTGAAAAAATAGAGGGGGGGGGTAAAGTATTGATCTAAAAATGTCTACCTTAGATATAACTGCTTTGGCATTTGCATCTTCGCCTTTTGGCATTCCATTTGGTCTCTACAGCTGTGGTGAGACAAACCACTGCAATAGGCCAATCGGTTTCAAGGACAATGCATACACTACCAAAGCATGTTTGTTCGCATGTTTCACCACAAGCATGTGTGGTTAATGCAGACTTGATGCCCTGTAATAGGTGTTTATTTTGAAATTTTAATATCTTAACACATCCTGCATTATATGCCAGAAAGGGTGTAAAAAAGCCCGAGTAAGAAAATAAATAACTTAATAAATACTCAGTTTAACACGTATGCTACTCTCGATTCCCTCCGGCCACAGAGGGAAAGGGAGGGAAAACGCAGACGGCGGGAATGGAACAGGAAGGACGCGAGCTCACGTAGCCGAACCAGAATCAGAATATTTATTGATACTGGAAGAATCCGATGAGCTACAAAGCTCTTCTTCGCAGATGTCCAGTAGGGGCGGGTAAGAGAACGTTGCTACAACAAACAGTACAAATACATGACACGAGTGCAATGTACAAGAAATGTAAACAAATCAGCCAAACACATAGAAATACAACACTAAACCATCACCATCCTACCAGGAAAAGACCAAAGAGATTTTAACTTATTTTTCATTGTTGGAGGGGGCGGGGTTGGTAAGAACCGAGCTGTGGTGAGCCGTTCCAAGAGCCGCATCTCGGCGGGTCGTGGAAACGCGGCGCAAAACATTTCAGGAAATAAAAAGTGCACGACGAAGCCGAGTTAGCGGGCTGTTTGATGGACCGCTCGGCCCGAGGTCAGACCTGCTGCGCCAATCTCTGGTCGAGGTTCCTCTGCTCGTCAACCAGGTGCTCGTATTTCCCTTCCCGCAGGGTCCTCACCTCCTCCTCGGTGAACATCCTGGAAGGCAAGAGCCGCACGCTCACCGTCACGACCCCCAAACGTGACGGCCCCTGTTGCTCACCAACCGGGACCTCCTAAATCACCAACCGGGACCTCCTAAATCACCAACCGGGACCTCCTAAATCACCAACCGGGACCCCTCGCTCACCAACCGGGACCCCTCGCTCACCAACTGGGACCCCCTAAATCACTAACTGGGACCACTCACTCACCAGCATGACCCCTCACTCACCAACCGGGACCCCTCGCTCACCAACCGGGACCCCTCGCTCACCAACTGGGACCCCCTAAATCACCAACTGGGACCACTCACTCACCAACCGGGACCCCTCGCTCACCAACCGGGACACCTCACTCACCAACCGGGACCCCCTAAATCACCAACTGGGACCACTCACTCACCAGCATGACCCCTCACTCACCAACATGACCCCTCACTCACCAACCGGGATCCCCTAAATTACCAACTGGGACCACTCAGTCACCAACCGGGACCCCTCGCTCACCAACCGGGACACCTCACTCACCAACCGGGACCCCCTAAATCACCAACCGGGACCCCCTAAATCACCAACTGGGACCACTCAGTCACCAACGTGACCCCTCACTCACCAGCATGACCCCTCACTCACCAGCATGACCCCTCGCTCACCAACCGGGGCACCTCACTCACCAACCGGGACCCCCTAAATCACCAACCGGGACCCCCTAAATCACCAACCGGGACCACTCACTCACCAACGTGACCCCTCACTCACCAGCGTGACCCCTCACTCACCAGCATGACCCCTCGCTCACCAACCGGGACACTTCGTTCACTCACTCAGAAGGGACTCCCAGCTCAAAACGAGCGTGGGGCGGCACTCATATCTCCCCTGCTGGCCAGTGGTGAAAATTCCACGTCTCTATGAGCAGGGCCGAACGGCACTTGAGACGAGCGCACGCGTGACAACGCACAAAGTGGGCACTCAATTTATCGATCACAGAGGGATGACAGGGCCGAGTTGACACCAGACTGGGAATCGAACTCGTGATCGGCTGCCTGGCAGTTGAATTGCACCTGTGTTACCCTTGCAATCGCCTGTAATGAATGTTTACAACTTAATCACAGGTTTTTGCTTGGCTTCTATCTGATAATCTCGGAGGTGCTGACTCGGTGTTCCAGCACAGCAATTATAAGCCCCCTTGGGTTACAAAACGATACGTGATAATGATATTCTAATTGTAATTTTATTGCAAATTCCAATGTTGAAGATGCAGTTTGGTTGTGCGTGATTCTTTCATTGCATTATCCGGTAATATTGCACTCGTATTTACATGTTGTTTTAGTGGTCTCTGTTAAATAACATTCGCGTAATGAAATAGAAAAGAAAACATTGTGGCTTTCTTAAGAATTTTGAATGACATCATACCTTGGGTTGGCGTTGACACTGCTGTAAACCTGGAAAAATGACAAATTTGAAACACTCCTTCAATTATTTCAAACACATATCCTTTGCAAAATGCGCAATAACACTTTAAAAGAAGGTACATGAAAACAAAAACATTGAATCAAACACGACAACGCATCCTGACAAGGAGGAAGATGTAAAATAAAACAGCACGGAAAGAAAAGTTTAAACAATTTGAAGAACTTAATAGCAACATCAAGAGGGAATAGTGGTACACTGGTTAGCACACTGTGCTATGACCCCAGCGACCTGAGCTCAATCGCTGGCCACGGATAACATCAGCGAACTGGTCCTGAGCCCTTCCTTGACGTCACCAACTCGGACTGACCAGTGTGGTGAATTATGGTCAAAACTCCCACAGCTGACATGGTGAAGGATTCAATTTACGTATCTTTTTTTATTATTAAATACAGAAATGTCACCATAATCACATGCAAAATCGAGTTTCACTGCGGCGTTACATTAACCGGACGTTATTTTGTCCCACGGCTATTAATGTTAACGACTCATCTGATTTAGTTATTCATGCATTATTTTGTCAGCCATGTATTGCCCTGCGGCTTTTTTGAGCCAAAAATATAAGCCTCAAGATTTTAGGCATACTTAACTGTGAGCGTGAAAGAACTCTTTATTTAAAAAAAATGTTCACGGCTATGTCGCACTTTGAAGCTTTGGCCAATGACATGGTCACACCACGGGTGAACAACACGCTCAAAGAAGATATTTCATCGTTTGTACCATCCGCTATACAGCAGTAAAACTAAATATTCAGGAAAAGGAGGATCTGGAGAAAGAACCCGCACACAGGAGGGGATAACGCTGCATTGCTGTAATTGTCACGTTTTAAAATGGTCTCCAACATATTTGCCAAAACGATCATGAATACCCCTGTATTCTAACACGTAATACGCATCAGAGAATGACCCTTCTATATTTTTTACGTGTATATTCTATTATTATTATTGATGCGTCTTCACCCAGGAAAGTCTAACAGATTTCTCATTACTTTTTTCCCTGCCAAGTTTTTTTTTGCAGTTGGGGGAAACCATTGCTCTTGAAAATTTTCCAACAGAGAAAAATTTTCGCGCAATTAGTTTTTTTTTATTGCGACCGTGACGCCGGCACACAATGACCCAACTCTTGAAAATGACGTCACAGGCTCTTTAACGTCAGCAGGAATCAAGCTCGAGTTGCCGGGTTCGTAGCGCAGCGCGCCAACCACGACAATTACCGCTCCCCGTGAAGTTCAACACACAACGTAGCGGGATCTGAAATCAAACCATACCTCATCTTCTTCCACCAAGTTTTCAAACTGCAAGAGAGGAGAATAAAGAAGAATAACAATTTGCACGTAGAGTGGCACTTGCTTGCCTGCTTAGGGCAACTCAAAGCGTGACCACACCACACCTCATCTCAACGATTCAAATGCCCTGCTGCCGTCTAGCCGAGGGGACCCCACAGTGGCCAGCTGTCACCACACATTGTGGGGGGGCGGGCGTGAGTTTTCCAGTGACGGCCGATGCTGCTTCGGCGCATCCGCGAACACAAGTCGGCGTTTCACAACATTTGGTGATCCATTTGACCGCCTCTTACTTTTCGACACTTGCGTAATGTAGCTCTCAGAGACACCGTCTTGTCTCTCCGCATAAAGTCCACGGACAACTCGACGAGTAACCACGAGTGGCTACGTACACTTGGCTAGTTAGACGACTCTGTTCTGGGGCATCACAGCTTCCGGGCTCAAGGCATCTCGAAGACGATGGAGACGGCCCGTTCCAAGGCGATGACGGCGATGATTTCCCACACCAACAGCCACCGGCTCGCGCCGCCTCTTATGCCTCGTCCGGTCCGGTCACGCCCCTATTCTCGAATTCTCCTCGCCACACCTGGCTATGTCAATCACCTCCCTAATTACACTTCCCGCGCCGCCATTGGATCCCGTTATCCCCTTCACGTGACCCTGTCAACGTTTGTCTCATGAATCATCATTAGCACGTCCATTAGTAACCATGTTCCCGGGGAACCATACCGTCCCACTATCGCTCGGTACTGTCTTTACACTTGGATTCAATATTGCGAGAGTGGTGGCTCCGTACCTTACAGAGGAAGCAGGGTGCCAACAGATGTAACGAGTTGTATTGAGATTGGTGACAGACGGGTCGAGACTCTGAGATACGATGCAGTCTTCTCACGTGAATATTTTTTTTTCCACATGACTTTGGCGGGGTATCTATAAATAGGCCGCGCTGTGTACGCATTGCCGATTTTTTGAATGCCCAATTTCTATATTTAGTAGCCACGATTCAACAGTATCTAGCTGCTCAAATGAGACGTGAGCTCATCTCCATCGGCAACCATGTGCCAGTGGTGTGAACTCCACATTCCCATGAAAGAGGCCAGTTCTGCCAAACCAAGAAGCACTATTGACTTCTTGGAAAGTGATACTCCTTTTACAAACCCCCACAGGATGATGGGAAAAGTTGACCTCAAATTTGGGAATTTTAAAAAATGTTATGTTTGGGATTTTCGGCAAGTTAGTTTGTGTAGAAGAAACCCTTCCAATTGTGAAGTTATAAGTTCTATTCTCGGCTTATTTTAATGTGATGATTATCATCATCCGTGTCATCATCCTTACGCCAATGAGTGATACAAATGAGAGCAGATCATACCTCGATGGTTGTATGCTCTGCGGCGTAGCCAGACTTAAAATATTTAGACCTGTAAAACAAAACAACGAGAACATCAACTTATTAAACACTCAAAACAAACACACGAAGTATCTCAACACGTGGGCCACGTGACTCTGCAATGTGTGTACATCAATCAAACCACAAGGGAATACAAATAACGTGGTCTAGTATTTAAGGCCTCGATGTGTGTGCGTGTGTGTTGTGGTGACCGATGGTGTAGCGGTTAGCGCGCTGCTTTGCAAACCCGGCGACCCAAGTTCGATTCCCGCTCATGGCCAGCACCAGTGAAAAATATCTTAACCGGGTCCTGGGCCTCCCCTATGTCGACTCAGCCTCAAATGAGTAACTGGTGCGGTGTGTTAACATCGTCACTGGGGAGACAAAGGCGGCCAGGCGTGGTACTGGCCACCCACCCCATCCTGTGCCGTGCCGGCCTTCATAGGTGCTCGCTAACAGCACTTTGGCCCAAAAGTCTGTTTCAGGCTACACGGGTGATCTTTGTGATTGTTTTCATGTGAGAGGAAGCTCAGATAATGCAGAGAAAAGCCACTCCTAAAGGGGATATACCACTCGAACTCCGCTGCACAGATTGTAGGTTTCAAAAACTGAGAAACACTAGCGTTAACCCAATACCGTGAAAAGTGAGTATATTGGGAGTAGATTGTGTAAGTAGTATAATGAGTGCGTATTGTATTTGGATACTTTTATATTTATTAGTTTGTCCTTTTAAGTCTGGCCAGGCGGTATTGTTAGAGGTGCTCTCGACCGATAATCACAAGGTTAGAAGTTCATATCCCAGTCGGGGGTTAAATTAACCCTTCTTTACTACCTCATCGATAAAAATAAGGAATTGTTATTTTGTTAAAACATGTTTCTCTGCGTCCATGCTGCCATCCACCGGCGACTTTGTTAGTTTTAAGAATGAGCAATTGCCGTTGGGAACATGGAAAGTGATGCAGAGAGTATTTTGGGGGTGGGCACTAAGTACCCACTACCCATGAGCCTCACTGTTTTTTCCTCATCTCTGAGCGAGCTGAAGACAGGGGTTTTTGCTCATTGTTAATACGTAACCAGGGGACAGTGACATTGACGCGCATCAATGCCTATTGCAGTGTTGTTTTTTCTCAGTTGCTGCTCGAATAGCTCGCCGATGTGTTTTCGCGGTTATGCTGCACGTTATTCCCAAGGGGCGTTCGACCCGTGCGTGTCATGAACACGCGGTATATGACCGTGGCAATACATCGAAGAGATAAAACTGACGAATCGCTTTGTGGGACAACAAGACTGGCAGTCGCATCAAGAGGTTGGACCCCACTTTCAGAATCTGAAATTCCACCTTTGTCTTGACGATTACCATCGAACACACGTGCCCGTCCTAGCCCGTTAAAGGTGACTTCCGTGATTAAGTTGACAAATTAACCACGCTGTGCATCGCTGTCTTGCACATTAATAATGGTCCAATTACGACACACACCTCCGATTAGCACGGTTGGCTACTGACGGCACAAAACAAGTTCAACATACATACATGCGATTAAATAAAATTAATCATTAATTTATTTTGGGTTAAATCGTGGAGATATGCCAATTTTCAGCCACCCCATAGAGGCAATACAATTAAGTTGTCACGCGAACAAATGATGCATTTTTTTTAGTTTTTTCTTAGTAAACTGGGATGTTAAAAAGCAAAGCAAAATTGTTGACGACTTTATACGACGTTTCGCTGAAGATCACATCCAGCATCGTCAGGCGTCAACAGCGGCTCAGCTCTCACGGCAAACACGATTGCTGGGCGATTTGGGCCACTAAATCATTGTTGGGATTCAATTATCGATCTTGGTTTCACGGAAAATAATAATAGAATGCGGTTCAATTTTAGTAACGATCAAACCGATTTAGCACGCGCAGACATTCAAACTCGACGTCGCAATGCTTCAATGTTCCAAACGGGACCAGTGGCAGAACTCATCAGAGACAAACAAACAAATACAAAAATCCCCCATGTAGCCTCAACACTGTTGGGGCAAGTGCTGTTAGCAAACACTTTTGAAAGCCGGAATGGCACACGAGGGGGTGGGTGGCCAACACCTCACCCGGCCGCCTTTGTCTCCCCAGTGGCGATGTTTACACACCGCAGCAGGTGCTCATTTGAGGCTGAGTCGACCTACGGAAGGCCAAGGACCGGTTCAGATAATCGTCACCGGTGTTGTTCGTGAGCGGCGAATCGAACTCGGGTCACCAGGTTCACAGCGCAGCGCTCTAACCGCTACATTACCGCTCCCCACGCGCACACACACGGCTCAAGTTAATGAATGATTTCGCTATGATTAGCGATCCAAAACGCACAATAAATTCCGTGGCATTCGTCCAATTGACTACCAGATGGTCAGCGGCAATTTACGTGGACCACGCGCGACTGTGCATTCTGCCACCCAAACTGCCAGGGCTCCACGTTCAACTTGATTCGATGTCAAGGCAATGGGCATTTTGCATTCGGCAAAGTGGATCTGGTGGCAAAGCGAGGTTGCTTGCAATCGAAATGGCCGCGAGTTCAAATCCCGGTTGCGGGTTGACTCGCCCACCGTCATCACTCCCGGAGTCGATAAAAATTCGTACAACATCGTGGGGAAGTCAAAAGTGCTTATCCTATGGATAGACTCGCCCCCTTCCAGAGGAATGTGGATTTTCCACTGCTGGCTCAGGGCTTTAAACAGATCAGAATCAGAATATTGATTTATTCTGGAGGAATACGATGAGCAATAAAGCTCTTTTTCACAGATGTCCAGTAGGGGTGGGTCAAAAAGTTACAACAACAAAAAATACGATAGGATTGCAAAGTATAGGAAAGACGAGCACCACCTCACGGTTTTCACGTACATTAAAACCAACTCCTGCAGTCACGAAAGTTTTAAGCCAAAATCCAACTCAACGTCTAAAGGTTAACTATAATGAACCACCTGCAGACGTGGAAGAAAGTTCACTATCAGGGTGTTCACCGGAATAGGTTCAATGTCAATTTGTAAAGTACTGTTAATAATGAGCGACAATTGTGTGTTTGGCAGCGCCTACGATTGTTACAGACGCAGCCACTGTAGGAGGCACAACGTCACACAAGTGAATGCATTCCTGCGGCACGCTCATTATGAACGGCGGATCGTTACAGTTAAGCATGGTCCATCATATAACGAGATAATACGAGGTGACACTGCATATCTCGTCACGGTGAAGTGATGCTCTACATTTGGTGTAAAAACGAAGCAGGCTTTCGGCTGTCACTTCCAGTTTAACACAAAGCGTGCAGCTTCCTTTGGGGCTAGCAATTCGTCTGAATCGACATCAGCACGGATACACGCACGCACACACACGCACCCCCTCACAGACACCAAGATGACGTGGCACTTTTGCGTGGGCAGTCTTTGTGCAGTGTGAAAAGAAAACTGAATCTCCCCGTCAAATTCCCCGAGTGAAATCGACGGGGCGTAAGCGGGGAAAGTGAAGCAATTTGCACGGATTGCTGGCCCCCTCCAATCAGTCAGGCAACGCCAGGTAAGATTAGCTTCAGGAAGAATGCTTGCACCTCAACAACAACACTAAGAACAGCAGCAGCAACAACACCACCAACAAAAACTCCTGAACGTAATGTAACAAAAATTCCAGAGTAATACGAGCCACCCGTTTCAGATCAATGATGCATCTCTGTGTGCCACGGCCTAAACTTACTGTTTGTAAGAGATGTGCCGTATCCCTCTGCTGGGTGGATGAATCGGTCACAGCAAAAAGAAATCGGGCATCAATAATGCCGGGACCAAATCAGCCCCAAATGCGCCTGGCCTCGTCAGATTTCTGAAGCTATGCCGGTTTGAGCCTGGGGAGAACTCGTTAGGGCCGAGCGCCATGCAAAAACAGGTTGCCGTAGTCCCCGCTGCGAAGGCACGTGGAGGGCATTGCGGCGAGTTCCACTGACGCACCGCGCTTCGACAGTCGACGCTCTGCCGCCTTCGCGAACCCACGCGAAACCAGCCAGGTGAAGTATGGTCAAGCAACTCCCCCCTCAGCTTGCGCGGCGTAGGGAGGCCCTCCATCCTGCAGCGTATATCGACAAGAGGGCTGTTACGCAAGTTGACGTCCGAGGCAGAAATCGTTTTAATTAAACCGGTGTCTTGTGCGGCCTTGAAGATACGAACATCTCGTGGAAAATAAAAATCAATACCAACTGCAGTGATGGCGCTCACTTAATTGTGGGCTGATGAACGCCGAGCCATTTGAGGAATGCGCCGCTTTCACCTGGCTAAGAGAATCAACGTTTTTACGGGGGGGGGGAGGGGGGGGGAAGATGGGTCCGCATTTATTGGGCTAATGCCAGCACCCAGATACACAATGTACCGTTTCACTCAGGGTGAACCGAGCCGTATTAGGTCCAATTCCACTGATGGCATCGGCCTCTCGCCATTGCCGCCTTCCTTCTCCTGCTCAATGCCCCAGTTGTTGCAGCGTCTGGCGTCAGGGTCTTCCCCTCGTCACAACAGTCCAAACATCTCAACATCTATTGAGGTCCGTTTCCTGCAGTCTCCCAATATACGGCTTACAGTCTCACCAACACCAACCTGTCTGGCTTCTGGTCTTCCCCTCGTCACAACAGTCCAAACGTCCTCTTTGGTTCCTTCGGTAAAGTCACTAAAGATAGAAAATAAAAATACTAGATCACGACGTTTCGATCGCAACAACAAGCGGTGATCGTCTTCAGGTGAAAGAAACAGACTGCTGTGGACGAGGCATTATACAGCAGTCTGATTCTTTCACCAGAAGACGATCATTGCTTGTTGTTGCCATCGAAACGTCGTGATCTAGTATTTTTATTTTATTTTGATTTTCTATTTACGTGACTTTACCGAAAGAACCAAAGAGTATGAATTCCTGCAGTTACGAAAGCCTCAAATCAAGATAGTCCAAACATCTCAACATCTTTCAAGGTCCAAAATGGGACTATTTTTTGTCCTTATCAAAGCATTAAAAAACAAGAGGTTTTAC